CAGAAATTCTTATTCTGCAATTGAAGTCAAGATTCCTAAGTAAGGAGTCTCTACTTCTAGAGGGAAACTTCACAAAGCCTCACCTGGACCCACGCACAAGTTCACATAAACTTGTGACAGAGTTTGTGGACTAGCTCTCAGTTCCTAGGCTGCAATTAGAATTCATTTTTCAAGTACTTAGAAACTTGGTTTTCTTATGATGATGTTTAAATTCCCATCCAACCCCAATAATCTGGTTATTGTGAATAACCAATTGTTAGTAGTGTATTAATATTGTGCTAGATACTGTTCTTTTTTTTTAAATTCTGACCATCCATTGCATATTCAGAGAGAGGGGGGAAATGTCTGTATTAGGCAGCCCTAAAGAAACTTTAAAAAAGAAAATCACTAAAGAATTTAGGTCTGGGAAGCCAGGCATCAGTGGCTCACACCTGTAATCCTAGCTACTCAGGAGGCTGGGATCTAGGAATGGTGGTTCAAAACCAGCCCAGGGAGAAAAGTCCATGAGACTCTTATTTCCAATAAACCACCAGAAAGCCAGAAGTGTTGCTGTGGTTCAAGTGGTATGTGCTGAAAAGCTGAGGGACAGTGACCAGGCCCAGAGTCCAACCCCCACTACCGACAAAATTTAGGACTGGGGATAGCTAACATGTGAACCTCCTCCCTGGCCGGCTATCTTTTGTCCTAACGCTAACTTAGGTACTGCTTCTAACGTAGCTATTCCTTCAATATTTGTAGGGTTGAGTAAAAAATGAAGTAAACAGCAGGGAAAATACTTGAATCAGACAAGAACTGGCATAAAAGTAAAAAGAATAACAGTGACTATGTCTATTGAATCTTTGTCATCTGATTACTCTGTTTAGCAATGTACCAACATTTTCTCATTTAATACTAGAAAAAGGAGTTTAGAATGTAAGAACTGCTGTTATACTTATTTTATAATTAAAGAAAGTTTTCACCTAAGATGATGTCTTATCTAAAGGTGTCAATAAATATAGTTTAATACTTTGAACACTTAAATTTTGAGTAAGTTTTTCATCCCCCAGAATTAAAAAGACTCACCTTCAGCTGAAGAGCTGAGGGACAGCGCCAAGGCCCAGAGTTCAAGCCCCATGACCGACAAAAAAAAAAAGAAAAACTGGTGTGTATTTGCTTAACAAACAGCTGAATTAATGTTCTTTTAGAGAAACAAAAAACTATTGAAAATTGAAGTTTGGGGTAACTAATTTCTTAACATATCAGTAGATGTATATTAGGGGAATTTAAAACAAATATATTCCAACAAGAAAAATGAAAACAGGCTGGGAAGGTGGCTCAGTGGTAGAGTGCTGGACTTGCATGCATGAGGCCCTAGGTTCCATTTCTCAGCACCATAGAAGCAGAAAAAAGAAAAGAAAAAAAGAAAAATGAAAACAAAGTTGAGGTGGACATTAATCTTTAACTTTGTTAAATTAATAATTTTAGCAAAGTGATTTAAGAACAGTTTGTTAATGCATGAAGCATAATGGCCATTTTAATAGTGGATCTTCATTATTGATAATAGTCTTAAAATGTGGTAAGCAGTGAGATCATAAATGAAGTAGCACAAATTGTCATGTTGACAAGTTATGTGTGAATTTAGGGTCATTTTTAAGTGATATTGGGTATGTAGTTTTGTTGTTGTTGTTGCTGTTTTGGTTTTTTGCTTTTTGTTTTGTCGGACCTGGGCGCTGTCCCTCAGCTCTTCAGTTCAAGACTAGTGCTCGACCACTTGAGCCACAGTGCCACTTCTGGTTTTCTGAGTGGTTTATTGGAGATAAGAGTCTTCCAGCCTTTCCTGCCCAGGCTGGCTTTGAACGTTGATCCTGAAATCTCAGCCTCCTGAGTAGCTAGGATTATAAGCATGAGCCACCACACCTGTCTGGATATATACTTTTGAGGCTAAATATATAATTTAACTAATGGGAAATGGTGATCTGGATCCTTTCTAATTTCCTTGAAACTTGGCAAGAAAATACTAAAATAAGGGAGAAATATGTGTGGCCTACATGAATATAAATGGGAAAGAGTAAATATCCAATGGCAACAGACAAGATGGATGAATCTTAAAGTCATGAATAGAAGAACCAATCTGTGGAAGACTACATATAATATATTGACTTTATAAAGCTTAAGGATAATCAAACAATGTTACATGGGGTTAAGTATAAATGTATTTCCTATAGTCATTGTGGAAAAAAGGCAGGATAGTGACAGTTAACAAAATTCAATGGTTGCCTTTTGGGAGAAGTAGGCATACACAATCCTAAAGGCAATGATCTAGTTACTGAATTATGTGGTCATGTTTTGGGGTGTTAATGTTTTCATGCTTCATAATGTACACAGCTTCTATTTATTTGTAGTGTGCATCACAAACTAGATGTTTTTGAAAGAATTTAGAGGTTTTGTTTTGTTTTGTTTTGTCGGTAGTGGGGCTTGAACTCTGGGTTTGGGCATTGTCCCTCAGCTCTTCAGCTCAAGGTGAGCACTCTTCACTTGAGCCACAGAGCCCCTTTCTTTAGAGATTATATTAAGGTCTTAATAAGTATTCTCATCTCTTTGGTCCTTTGGATATGTGTTGGAACTGAAAAAGATGTATAATTGCTTCTTGTAGTTTAGAGAAATCTTCAAATATTACTCTTTCTCTGTACATTATAAAACTGAAGGCAATGTATAATTTCTCTAGCTAGGCTGATATCTTGACTGGCTTTAGTCTTTGTTTTTTTTTTTTTTTGTTTTGTTTTGTTTTGTTTTTGGGTCCGGTCATGGGGCCTGAACTCTGGGCCTGGGCGCTGTCCCTCAGTTCTTCAGCTCAAGGTTAGCCTCTACCACTTGAGCCACAGCGCCACTTCCGGCTTTTTTCTTCTTGCTTATGTGGTGCTGAGGAATAGAACCCAGGGCCTCTGGCATGCAAGGCATGCGCTCTACCACTGAGCCACCTTCCCAGCCCCTGGCTTTAGTCTTAAAGTAGAAAAATTATAGACTTTGGAGAAAAATTTGAATCTTAGTTCTGTTAGCCAGATCTGTGAGCTAAACTTAAGTTAATAAATGTGTCATTGGTTAAGTAGTTGCTAATTAAATATTAATTGAAGGGTAAAGTTGCTTTTTGGAGTAGATTTTATTCTATATGAACATTTTCACTCCATTATGTTTATATACTACTACGGTCAAATATGATCATTTTTGCTATAAATATCCAATTCTAGTGCTTTTTTTCTTCATCTTTTCCTTTTTAAAGCTTCCCAGCACTGTTTGCTTAGTCTATTATTTTAGTAATAAGTAGTGTTTATTATCATGCAAATTTAGCCATTGAGCAACAATTTCCATGGGAGTTAACATAATTCTTTTCTAAGGTATAACTGAACTAGAAAACTAGAACAGCATTAGTGTTGGAGACAGTTATAACATTCTTTCTCAGAATAGGGCCCATGCTGCGAGTTTTCTGAGAGAAATTTAAAATGTGCTATTTTTGCATGATAAAATAAAATGCAGGAGCCATAAGTACAATCTTGATCTGCTTTACTATTTTATCACACCCATTTGAGTTTAGACATGCTAGTGCTAATGTCCAGTGTAATGGTTTTTATTGTATGGACCTCTTATTTAAAAAACAGGTAAGCAAGCCAGGCACCAGTGGCTCACACCTATAATCCTTGCTACTCAGGAGGCTGAGATCTGAGGATTGTGGTTCAAAGCCAGCCCAGGCAGAAAAGTCTGAGACTCTTATCTCCAATTAACCACCAGAAAACCAGAAGTGGTGCTGTTGCTCAAGTGGTAGAGTGCTTGCCTTGAGCTGAAGAGCTCAGGGACAGCACCCAGGCCCAGAGTTCAAGCCCTGTGAATACCGAAAAAAAAAAAATAACGCAAGTGAGCAAAATGATGTGTCAGGCTGAATAAAAGTGAATTATTTAATAAACATCCTTTGAATCATAATGGATATTCAGAGTTACATAATTCCTTACAAGATACTTTTATCCTACAACTTTAAAGTTGACAAAATTGGTAGTACTTAATGTAAGTATTCCTAATTAGGAAGTTTTGTGGGAGGCTAGTGTCCCACACCTACAATTTTAGTTATTTAGTCAAGAGGCTGAGATCTGGAAGATCAAAGTTTGAAGCCAGCCCAAGAAGAAAAGTCCATAGATACCTCCTCCAAAATAACAAGCAAAGAGAAGGACTTGGGACATGAGTCAAGTGATAGAATGTCAACAGAGCAAGCAAGGTAAGCAAGACCAAGAGAAAGAAAAGGAAGTTGCTTGCTTGCAAGAGTCAGTAAAATTCAATAGAGGAAATTATTTTTAATTATTATTAGTATATCTTAATTGCTCAAAGGGTTTTGTTGCGATATTTCCATATACCCCTTGGTGCCATAGACCCCTCTATTACTTTCGTATCACCATCCCCCCCCAAGGCCCCTCTTTCTTATTATCTTCAAGTAGTTGTGCAAGGTAGTTCAACTTAACATACCCGTTTATGTGTACATGCATCTTGATCAGTCACCTCTTCCATCATTCTACTCTCCCTTCTACTCCAACTCCATCACCTTCTTTCCCTACTTCCATTTTCTTTATGTTGCATCATGTCTGTATTTGCCCACTTTTCATGCCTCTTTCTAATCTTCCACTCCTGTCCTTTTGCCCCCCACCCTTCCTCCTGCCAAGACATGTTTTAGTTTCATAATTAAATTAATTGTTCAAAATATCTTCACCTTTTTTAAGCTTTCTTGCAGATTTTTAACAGATTTCATTATGAGTTTTTCATACCTGCATAAATGTACTTCGTCTCCTCTTACCCTCTTTTATTTTCCCCACCTGGTAGTAGTCCCCCTTCTATGTTCATGTCAGTTTGTTGGCCCTTCTTTGCTTATAGGGTCTTGTGTTCTGCTTGGGGGCAGGCCTCAGCTAGCAGCCTTTTTATGTTTAGCCTCCAACCCGAGATCACAAGCATACACTACTATACCCAGTTTATTGAGATGACGTATCATGACCTTTGCCCTGGATTGGTATGAACCTTGACATTCTGAGTCTCTACCTCCTGGGTAGCTGGGATTGCAAGCAAAAACCACCAAGCCTAGCCTGATTAAAGGAATTTTAAATATTATATATTCATTTGGTATTAGAGATGTCAATATGAAATTGTAATATATCTATTTTAAAAATAGACATTGAAAGTAGAAACTTGTGGCATTATAGAAAATTGGAGGAGCTAAATATTTAATTCTTTAATTTGAAGATGATGCATTGGCCAAAAAAAAAAAAACCCAAACACCTGCAATTAAACCAATCATCAATTTATATAACACCTAAGTACCAATCACTATCAGGCTTTGGGATTCAAATATGAGCTCAACTGCTACTATCTTATAGTTTCAAGTTTAATGGAAGATATAGCCTACGATGTATTTTTAGAATTCACAACCTGTCAGATAATAGATAAGGTGTTAATGATATAAATATCTGGAGAAGAAACATACAAGGATTATATTAACATACGAAGTTTAGTGAGGACATCATGCACAAGTGCCACTAAGTAGAGTGGAAGTATCCTTATTAGAAGCTTTTATTTTATTTTTTGTGCTGGTACTGGGGTTTGAACTGTCCTTGAGCTTTTTGTTCAAAGTTAGCACTCTTTATCATTTGAGCCACACCTTCATTTCTGGCATTTGGCTGGTTAATTGGAGGAATCCCACAGTCTTGCTGGAAGCATTTTACACACAGTTGAGCTGAAGTCTCAGAAGTAGAGTAGACATCCATGTTAGTTATTTTTATGTCACAAAATACAATTTATATAGAAAATGCATAAAGCAGTCCATCTGCCATTTAAAAATTCTATAGACCTTTTAGAGCCCTTTTAGTATATATATAATTATTTATTTATTTATTTTGGTCGGTTGTGAAGCCTGAACTCTGGGCATGGGCACTGTCCCTCAGCTCTTCAGCTCAAGGCTAGCACTCTACCACTTGAGCCACAGTGCCACTTCTGCCTTTTTCTGCTTATGTGGTGCTGAGGAATAGAACCCAGGGCTTCATACATGCAAGGCAAGCACTCTACCACTGAGTCACTTTCCCAGTCCCAGGAGAGATATATTTTAAAGGTCATAATTATGTCTTCCCCTTATATGTATTCCTGTATCATATATATTCAAATATGTTTATTTGTCAGTATATATGATTTTCTGGCAGAAAGTACTATTAATGAGTATTTTTAGTGAATCCAAAGAACACTGCACCCCCATCTATCTTTTCAGTTAATCTCAAATATATCCATTTGACTTCTGAAGAAAATCTTTTGCTGGTCATTAATCTTTTGACAATTTGTTGCCTAATAACTGGTCAACATTTTTGGCCTAAGAATAACAGGAAGCTGGGCACCAGTGGTTCACACCTGTAATCCTAGCTACTCAGGAGGCTAAGATCTGAGGACTGTGGTTCAAAACCTTCAAAACCAGACCAGGCAGAAAAGTCTGTGAGACTCCTATCTCCAATAAACTACTCAGAAAAAGCCAGAAGTAGTGCTGTGGCTCAAGGTTCAAGCCCCATGGCAGATTAAAAATAATAATAATAGTACCACTTATTTATTTTGGTACTTATACACCATAAGCATACGTCTGCTCTTCTGGGTGGTATTCCCACTCCCCCACGCTATGCTATCATTTGTGTGAAATTTTAACACATGGGAGCATAGGCTTGAATGGAGAGAATGCTGAAAGGAAATAGAAGATTCTTGTCCTTTTGCTCATACAGAGAATGGAAAAGAAATCATTTCAGATATCTTAATTTACACTAAAGGGATCACATGGGTTGTCAATTTGGCCATTGCCTTTCATCAAAGGCTCTCTAAGCATCTCATGAGCATACTCACTAATCCTCTAAACACTCTCGTGAAGTTGGTAACTGGCAATAGCATGGGGTCCATTTTCGTATGGAGTAAATGGAAGCACTGAAATCCTAAGTGATATTTTTATCTTCTACTCAGAAATGTCTTACTACTTTACAGGCCAGTATTATTATCAACTTTATGGAGCTTAGTGAGATTATGTGATTTGCCCAACCTCAGGGAAGAATTTGGCATAGCATCAAAGCTCTTTGAGTCTTATCTGCTTTACTAAGTTTATTCTTCACCCTCTACTTCCATCCTCAGCCCTGCCATTTAATCTAGTTTTTTAAATCTTGTAAAAAAGGAACTTCAAATCATATAATTTTGTGAGCTTCTGAGGTACTATCCTTGGTTCTTGTTTAGGAATCAATTGGCACCTTCTTTATTCTACAATAATTTCTTTGATATTGCAACTGGTGTTAGTAACATTGTGTAATAAAACTTACCCAGTTTCTGACAATTAGAATATTTAACTAAGTAAAACAGAATGGGGATATCTTAGATAATAACAGCTAATTTTGCAAACAAAATTTATCTCTTCATATCAAATATTTATCTTTTCAATTCCAGCAACAGTAATTCTAGTCGTAACTAGAATTTTGATACCAACTGTGTTAAATTTTTTTGTCACTGTGACCTGACTAAACACTTGAGTGAAACAATATAAAGGAAGAAAGATTCTTTTTTTTTGGGGGGGGGTTGGGGGTGGGAGTCTCACTTTCAAAAGTTCCGAGTTCAAGTGGCATGAAGGGTGTGGTGGAGTAGAGCAGCTCACAACTTGGCAGCCAGGAAGCAGAGAGAATGCCTACACTGTGGACTTTTCTCATTTTTTCCTTTATCCCCTTCTGACACCCGCCCCCCCCCACAAGCCTGTGGTATGTGCTACCCACATTCAGGGCTGGTTTTCTTCCCTTATTCTTCTCTAGAACCATGCCCCACACATACTCAGAAATGTGCTTTACTAATCTAAAGTGCTCCTTGACCCAATTCAGCTAATTAACCAAGGTATCCTGTAAACCTAGCTAATTGGGAAACTGAGAATGAGAAGAGTGCCATCAGAGGCCAACCCAGGCAGAAATGTTTGCGAGTCCCCTTTGTAACCGATACCTGGGCCGGGTGGTACATGTCTCTCATCCTAAGCAACATGGGAGGATCTTGTTCTAAACTAGCCTGGGCAGAAAAGCCCATAAAATTCCATCTCAGTGGATAAATGCTGGGCATGGTTGTGTGCTCCTGTTATCCTAGTTAGATCGGAACCTAAAATAGGTTCAGATCATGGTCCAGGTACACACTGGGACAGAAAGTTAGACTGTCTCAAAAAAAATAACCAGTGCAGAAATGGGCTAGAGAAGTTGATCAGCAGTCAAGCACCTGCTTGGCAAGTGCAAGGCCCTGAGTTCAAACACCAGTACTGAAAAACAAAAACTAACCTCAAGATACCTAAAGATAGACCATAATATTTAAGTTATGGGCATATGTGGGAATTTGGGTAAATCAGAAGTGAGAAGTTGCTCACAGAAGTTATACGATTACCCACAAGAGGGAGATATATTCACACTGTTGTGCAACTATCACCACTATCCATTTCTAGAATTTTTTTCATCTTGTTAAACTGAAACTACAATAATTTCCCATTCTTCTCTCCTGCTAGCTTTTGGCGACCACCATTTTATTACCTTTTCTCTATGAATCTGATTGCTTTTATGTGAGTAAAATCCTAACAGTTTGTCGTTGTGGCTTGTTTTACTTAGTGTAAGTCTTCAGGGTTCATTTGTGGTTAGCATAGGTCAACTTTCCTTCCTTTTTTAGGGTACATAATATTCCATTGTATGTGTACCATGTTTTGTTTTATCTGTTTATCTGTCAGTGGATAAACTGACAGTGGATGTTTGGTTTGTTTGTTTTTACTATTATGAACAGTGCTTCTGTGAATCTTGTTATACAAATATTCATAAACATTCCTGCTCTTTTAGTTTGAGATGTGGAATTTGTAGATCATATCAGTAATTCTAGTTTTAGTTATTTGAGGAATTGCCAAATTTTATATAGCCGCTGCATCATTTTACAACCCAGTCAGCTGTGCACAAGGAGTTCAGATTTTTTTTTTTTTTACATCCTTACTAACACTGTTTTTTTTCCAATTTTCTGTAGTAGCCATCATAATGGATATGGACCTGGTATCTCATTGTGGTTTTAATTTGCATTTTTCTAGTGATTAGGGGTGTTGGACATTTTTTCATATGCCTAATTGCCTTCTTTGGAGAAGTGTGCATCCAAGTCTTTTGCCCATTTTATGTGCCCATTTTTTTCTTAACCAAGCTAATAGCCATGTAAACCTCTTATAACTTTATGAAACTTCCAGAAGGATATCACTTTTGTTAAGCAATACTGGTAGTATTGTAGTAAATAATATTTTAGAAAAAGTATCTGTCTCATAGCTAATTGAGTTTGGCCTGTTCTCTCGCTATGATTTTGTCCATCTCTTCTTTATCCTGTTGACATCATCCTGATTTACTTAGCATCATATCATTTTTTATATTACAGTTGTCCAGGGGTAGAGAATTGTCTTGTGTATAGTAGATACTTAACTATTGATAAGTAAGTCAACAGTGTTTCAATCTAATAAATTGGTAAGAACTGACCATAAATTTTAGTAAGTTTGTTCATCTTTACCTCTCCAATTCCCTCCCCCTAAGTTCAACTAAGATTTATTAGGAACAAGATCTGAGATCTGAGTTTCCCTTCTCTTAAAATTTATGATAGTAAGCCACACAAACTTTTCCCTATAGGCTGAGCTAAGTGATTTCTTAGATGTCTTCTAGTCTTAAAATTAAATCTTTTTAAGATACTTATACATATGTCCAGCTTTATTACTATATTTCCCTTAAGCATATTTTTAGGTTCTGGCCATACATAAACTGGAAGATAATAGCCTATTTTAACTGAACTTACTTCTTAGTTTTTCATATTTCCTTGTTCTTAGATCTACCTAGGACCTAATCTGGAAACCTTTTAATTCTAAACACTGAGTGACTTTCGAAGAATTAGCCATGATAATGAAGCAGTAACAGTTAAAATCAGTCTGAGTTTGTTCCCCACTGAAAGATTGCATTACATCTTAACACAATTGACTACCCAAAAAAGCGATGCTATACTGTGTAACTTTGCTTTTGATTTCTACTTTTGAACTGTTTTAAAAACCAGAATGTCTCAGGTACCTAAATAGAGCAATGTGTAATTAAATATAAATACTGTTAAGTATCAGTTGCCATTTTTATTTATTCATACCTCTATTTTCTTCCTGCTTCCATGAGAATTTAGTTTAATTTGATTTTCAATTGACTTCTGAAAACTACAAATAGTTATATAAACCAATTTAATCTCAAGGACTAATATTGTGAATGACTAATGAGGAATGGCAAAATTAAAGTCTTTGAGACATTAACTTTTGAATATTAATTACTAAGTAATTTTCAAAGATTGACCGTTTATTCCATTTTTTCTTGTTCCTGTTGTTCATAAATCAGTAATTATTTGTAAATGGTAAATTTCTACAATCTACACAAAATTTTTGAGAGGGTCTCTGATGCAACCTTTATAATGCAGTCTTTTAAATAATGCTCTAATTCTCTAAAACTTTAAATTTTAATATCTGTTTCCCTGGGACCAAGGAGGTACTTTTTAATGCTTCATTTGTCAGTGGGAAAACTAGTTTTAATTTATATTGACCTTTTCTCCTTTGAGCATTTAGTCTGCATTCAATAAAATGTTGATGACTGCTCTTTAGAAGACAGCTGTACGAAATAAAGTATTATAAATATTCAGCTTTCCTTTCTAAGCATTGTCACCAACAGCTGGGCATCCAGTTTAGCAGAACAGATTTTGCACAGGGAGAGCCTGGCATGTTCCTGATTCAGTTTAGTGAAGGAAACAAAAAATAGTTTCTTATGGATTGGGGACTTATAAAGACATAGAGCATCTGTTCCTTGGTTAAGTCATAGGCTGGTTGCACTGAATCATGTTTAATGCTACAATAATGTGCAAAACTTTTTTCACCTTGTGAATACGTTTAACACCTATTACTCTGGTTCTGCAAATAATACATTTTTAATGTCTCCATTGAAGGTATGTGTATTATTATGGTCTAATCTAAAAATTTATATAGGTATCTTTTTTTCCCAAAATAGTGGTCCATATTTATAAAGCTACATATATATATATATACATAATAAATATATATAAATACATAAATATATATTTATATTATGTATATATTTATATACATAAATATATAAATCACTATATATACATATATAGTGATTTAAATATTTGATTATGATCATAAGTTAAAGCATGCTATTAAAAACAAATAAAAAGATAAATAATTCTTTCAACTAGTAAAAATCGGCTTAGACTTTTTGCATATCTTACCCTTAAATATTTGCCTACTTAAAACATGTAAAATCTTGCTGGGTACTGGTTTCTCACACCTGTAATCCTAGCTACGCAGGAGTCTGAGATCTGAGGATCGCGGTTCAAAGCCAGACTGGGCAGGGAAGTCCATGAAACTTTTATCTTCAATAAACCACCAGAAAACCAGAAGTGGCGCTAGAGTGGTAGAGTGCTAGCCTTTAGCTGAAGAGGGACAGTGCTCAGGCCTAGGCCCAGAGTTCAAGCCCCATGACCCCCCCAAAAAAAACAAAAAAAAAAGCCAAACATGGAAAATCTAAAACTCTTTAAATATTTATTTACAGTGTTAAAAGGTCACTGCAACTGGATGATCCACTAGAAGAAAATGTAAGTATTTGCTTAAGAATCGATAGCATGGGAGCTGGGAAGGTGGCTCAGTGGTAGAGTGCTTACCTTGCATGCATGAGGCCCTGGGTTCAATTGCTCAGCACTACATAAGCACAAAAAGCTGGAAGTGGCACTGTGGCTCAAGTGGTAGAGCACTAGCCTTGAACTGAAGAGCTGAGGGCTAGTGCCCAGGCCCAGAGCTCAGGCCCCATGACCAACAACAACAAGAAAAAATAATTGATAACATAAGACTGAGTTTTCTTTTTTGTTATTGTTGTTGTTTTGTGCAATTACTCAAGTTTGAACTCAAGATCTCACACTCTTGCTTAGCTTTTACAATTAAATCTGATTATCTCTTAAGCCACACTTTCACTTCTGGCATTTTGCTGATTAATTGGAGATAAGCAACTCATGGATTTATCTGCCTAGGCTGGCTTTGAACTAGGATCATTAGATCTCAGCTTCCTGAGTAGCTAGGATTATAGGCAGGAGCTACCAGCACCCAGCAATTATGGTTTTTTGCTTTGTTTAGGGTTTTTTTTGGTGCAGTCTTAGATCTTCAACTCAGGGCCTAGGTAATATACCTGAGCTTTTGTGCTCAAGGCTAGGGCTCTATCTACCACTTGAGATACAGCTCCACTTCTAGCTCTTTCTTTGGTAGTTAATTGGAAGTGAGAGTCTTATGCACTTACTTGTTTGGGCTGGCTTCAAACCACAGTCCTCATATCTCAGCCTCCTTAGCATCTAGGATTACAGGCATGAGCCACCAGGGCATAGCCCATGCATAGCCCAATTGTGTTCCCTGTCAATTACTGACTTACCTTGGTAGATATAAAAACGTTCAATGGGCTGGGAAGGTGGCTCTGTGGTAGAGCGCTTGCCTTGAATGCATGAGGCCCTGGTTCGATTCCTCAGCACCACATAAGCAAAAAGAAAAAAGCCGGAAGTGGCGCTGTGGCTCAAGTGGTAGAGTGCTAGCCTGGAGTTGAGAGCTGAGGGACAGTGCCCAGGCCCAGAGTTCAGGCCCCACGACCGGATTCCCCTCCCCCCCAAAAAAAAAGTTCAAAAAAAACAAGTGACATAATTGTAAGGTACACTGTTTCTTTTCTTCCTTTTTTTTGCGGGGAGGGGGGGGGGAGGTCTGGTCCGATCGCGTGGGGCCTGAACTCTGGGCCTGGGTGCTGTCCCTCAGCTCTTCAACTCAAGCTAACACTCTACCACTTGAGCCACAGTGCCACTTCTGGCTTTTTTTTTTTCCTTCTGCTTATGTGGTGCTGAGGAATCGAACCCAGGGCCTCAAGTGCATGCAAGGCAAGCACTCTACCACTGAACCACCTTCCCAGCCCCACTGTTTCTTGCATATGAAATATCTTTTATAAATCACATATGTGGAATTTTCTGGCCAGTTTAAGGTATTCACTTAGAAGCAAATTATTTAGAAGCTTTAAATAAATTTATTGGTAGGAAAAAATAGAATGCCTTTTAAATGTAAGAAATAATATACAGCATACTTGCAATACTTTAATCTGCTTATTATAATCCTCTTAATTAAAATAAAAACATTAGTAACATTTTCATATCAAAAATGGAATTCTTTTCCTGTTGTCCTTTTATTTTTATGCTGGCACAGATCTAACAACAAAGTACTAACACTGTCATAAATTTCACCCTGGTTATCACAATAAAAATTAAATAATACTGCTGCTATTACTTTTGTAAGTCTAGTCATAGCACATTCCTAGTGCCAGCATGTCATGACATATGTTAGTTTATTATCATACCAACTGTGGATATAGATACTAACACTAATACCAAAATAATTATGATTTTGGTAATTTCAAGTCTAAATAAACTGATGAGAAAGTAAATGAAAATACTTAACATATAATGTACTCCTGCAAAATTTCATGAGAATGTCATTTTAAGAAATGGATTTTATATGGAGTTTCTCTTTGGAAGATATACTGGTATTTAACAAAACTGAAATATTTACCATTTTAAAAACTTTCTAAATGCTTTTTTAAAAAAAATTGTACACCAAGGTGGCAAAATACTGCAATGACACTAAAAAAAAATCATTAACAGTGTAATTAGCAATTTAGAGTACCATTATCCAACTTGTTCTGTGCAGAATGCAGCTGTGACTGTAATTCTGCATCTGTTTCTTTGGTCAGAATGGTATTTTGGTAGATGAGTAGTCCAGCTTGAAATGAAATACTGTTCTTTTCTGCCCTAAAGCTCTTCCTTGGGAGATGGAAACATTATTTAAATGGGGAAGAATGACCATTTCAGAATCCATTCTCTTCATGAAGCACAATTGTCATCACAACAGGCTTTCTATTCTTTTTTTTCCTGCAGATGAGAATCTAGCAAAGAGACTAGTGCTGCTAATAATAGCCTGTATTTTAAAATAATTATTACTATATTTGGGCCAGTTCTGTACTTTTAAACCAGTTAATTTGAGTGTTAACTCAGCTTTTACTTGCTGCTGGTCATCTATTTATATTTTCTACTTTTCATGGTTCAGTCCTGACAGGTTGAATGTTTCTAAGAATTAATAATTAATTAATTTTTGTCGGTCATGGAGCTTGAACTCTGGGCCTGGGCGCTGTCCCTCAGCTCTTCAGCTCAAGATGAGTGCTCTACCACTTGAGCCACAGTGCCACTTCCGGTTTTCTGAGTGGTTTATTGGTGATAAGAGTCTCAGGGACTTTTTCTGCCTGGGCTGGCTTTGAACCATGATCCTCAGATCTCAGCCTCCTGAGTAGCTAGGATTACAGGCGTGAGTGAGCCACCAACGCCCGGCTTTGTCTTCTGTTGCCTTATTCTCATCTGATCTTCGCTTCCTTTTCCTGGCTCATGCTAATTTCCTGTACCACTTTTTTTCTTTTTCTTTTCTTTTTTTTGTTGTTGTTGGTCAGGGGGCTTAAACTCAGGGCCCACATTATGGTATATTTTAAGAAAGGAATACTACTCAACAATAAAAGAACATACTACTAACATATGATCTCAAAACAAGGTAAGCAGCTGGGCACCAGGTGGCTGTGACAGCTGTAATCCTAGCTATTCGGGAGGCTGAGATCTGAGGATCACAATTCAAAGTTAGCCCAGGCAGCAAAGTCTGTGAGAATCCTATTTCCAATAAACTACCAAAAAACAAACCAAGAGTAAAGCTGTGGCTCCAGTTGTAGAGTGTTATATGTGAGCAGTAGAAGCTCAGGGATAGCACCAAGGCTCTGAGTTCAATCCCCAGTACCAACACACACACCACACACACACACACACACACCCAAAAAGCAAACATGTTAAGCAAAAGAAGTCAAACACCTAAATTATGTCTTTCATTTATAGGAAGTTCAAGAATAGGCAAAATTATGTGTGGTTATTGGAATTAGAAAATGGTTGCACCTGAGCCTGTAAGAAGATCTGGATAGTAAAATGTATATCTCAGCTGTAGTTTCATCAGTTTTATATACTGAGAACTCACAAAAGTCAGCAAGTTGAACTAGATCTGTGTGTTTTATTGCAGTAAACCATAGTTCAGTAAATAAAAACCTATCTAGGTTGGAATAAGCTTCATATTCGGAAAAATAAGAGGATATATGAAAGTAAGATGGGAAACAGCCATGGAAATGCTTCATAGAAAATATCTTGAGGATTACTAAATGAGTACAATAATATATCCTTTTCTGCTGGCATAACTTTCTTACATTAAAATTATTATAGTATCATAAAATTATGGAAGAATAATGAGCACAAATAGAAAAACCAGTATATCAACCTTTTCAGCTGAAGTTTTATTTTTCCTGTTAAATTTTTTAAATATTAAATTGATAAATCATTAAATTCACAGATCTTGAATGTACATTTCAATGAATTTTAATGAATACATAGCCCTGTATATCAAATACCCAATCAAGAAGCAGTACATTTCCATTATTGAAGATCTGATATCTTGATCCTCTTCTTTCTCTACTATCCAGTAGGATCACTAGATACGTATAAATCCTTTTGTGTTTTATATTTAAAAAACAACAACAACACTCCAGTGTTTATAAACCATTAAGTCTGGTAATGGTAGCAGCTGATATTAGTTGATCCTTGTTACTTTTCTAGGAACTCAAGGCCCAAAATGTGAAAAGTACCTAATCCTGTTAGATTTTTAAATTCTCTAATATAAATTCTATAACTACTACTAAGAGTGCCTAATAATTATATCTTAGAAGGGACATTACACTAACCTAATTAATCAGTGGAAAGTTATCAAGAATTTCCTCTGCTAGATACTAGTGACTCAAATTTGTAATCCTAACTATGTGGGAGGCTGAGTATTGGTGGTTCATGGTTCTAGGTCAGCCTAGGCAGAAAAGTTTATAAGACTTTTCCACCCTTCTATATGTCATCTCAAACTATATGGATGCTGAGCTTGGGAAGATCATAGAGCCAGGCTAGCCTGGACAGAAAAATCCATGAGTTTCTATTGAGGGAACCTGGATGAGGTATCATGCACCTATAATCACAGCTACAATAGGAAGCCTAGAGTTGGCAGGTCAAGGCTTAGGCGTGTACCTGGACTGGAAGAAAAACCCTATCCTAAAATAACCAGTGAAAAACAAGCTATATATGGCCCAATAGTATCATGCCAGCCTAGCAAGTGCAAGGCCCTGAGTTTTCAAACTCCTAGTACTACCAAGAAAATATTATCTTGCTGGGCTTGGTGTTACATGTCTGTATTTTCCCCCACTGAGGAAACTGAAGCAGGAAGATCATAAGTTTGAAGCTAGTCTGGGCTACATAGTGAATTCCAGGCCTGTAACACAGAAAGGTCTATCTCAAAATTAAAAAAAAAACAACCAAAAACAACTTTAGCTCCTTTTTTGTTTTTGATTAGATACCTATTAAGTACCTATGTTTTAAATATTTCAGTGATGGCATAGACAAGTAATTCATAATAATAATTTTATATTCTGTATTTCATTATGAAATGACCCTTAGTTAGTACTTTGTAGATTATACATAATGGGTAAAAAAAAAAAATCAATGAAATGCAGGCATCTTTTTTGGTAGAATGCTTTAAACAAGGTGATGAAGCAAGCTACAATTGGCAAAGGATATTGAAGGAAAATGTCATATCTCTTTGACGTTATAGAGTAGTCATTGATCACTTCTTACACATAAAAATCAATGCCTGAATTTTAGTTTTGCTACAAGATTTGACCTCTTAAAAAATAAAAGTTTAGCATTTGGGCTGGTCATAAATCAAATCTTCAAACATGGCCTTTTTGTTTAGTTGTTCTGTGATAAATTTGTTCTAAATATCTCTATGTACTCAGTAACTATTTGAAGCAGTTATATAAATTATTATAGAACTGGTTGTGACATCTATTTCCTTGCATGATTTTTTTCCCCTTTTCTAGCCAAATGTTACTGCTTTTTGGAAGGGTCTAATAGAATCACTCTTTAGCATCTTCAGAGAATAAATAAAAGTTAGAAAACTTGGGTAAAATCTTGAAGGAAAGAAAACTTAGGGAAGTAAGGTTTTCTCTTTGTGTATACAGGAGAGCAAACATCTTAAAAGAAATTGTTGGGCCAGGTGCTGGTGGCTCATTCCTGTAATCCTAGCTACTCAGGAGGCTGAGATCTAAGGATCGAAGTTTGAAGCCAGCTCAGGCAGAAAAGAGACTCTTATCTCCAATTAAGTACATAATCCAGAAGTGAAGATGTGGCTGAAGTAGTAGAACACTAGCCTTGAGCAAAGAGCTCAGAAAAGAGCCCAGGCCCTGACCAACAAGAGGTAAAAAAGAAATTGTTTACTGAAGAATATTTACTGGGAGGATAGGGAAAAGTAGAATTTCAGTTTTCTGTCAATCTAGAGTAGTTACTGTATATTTTTCCTTTTAACCAACACAAATAACTAAAAAGAAAAGAAAAGGAAATTTGATGTTTTTAAAGTGAGGCAAACCACACACACTCACATCCACGTGCATGCACACACAAGACTTTTCTGAAAGCTAGAAAATTGTTTTTAAGAAGAAATATATTATCTACAGTAGCAATGTTTAGACATCTGGCAATTGGATAAAATAATTTTTGGTGAAAATAGGAAAACAGATTGACATAAACGTACTTTAGAGTAGTGACTTTCATTTCTTGTACATACACAGTGAAATAGTTCTAGGCAATAAATTCTTGGAAAAGCAGAGTAGGGATTGGATAAATGTCATAGTTTATGACTGAATATATATATAAACAGGTGAAAACCAAGATGAAGAGGTAATAGTAACTCTTGATAAAGAGACTTAAGACCGTTCTACCCTACTAAAAGGATTGCTTTAGTTATAACTTGATATTATGGTTTTGATTTTTTTAAGATATTGGTTACATTTGTGGCTACTATAGATACATAAAATAAATGCTTTTTGTTCCCCCAAACAGAGAAATATTTATCATTTAAAGTCTTAACTATAAAATTTTTGATACTATATATTGTTAGAATGAATACCAAGATTTTTGAGAAAGGTAACAAAGCCACTATTTCTGTCCTGGGTATCTTAAAAATAAAGGATAGTTGACCATAGAGAATTTAGCTACCAAGCTAAAGTTTAGTTATACAGTGTTAACAGCACGTGAGTCTTGAGACTTTATCCCCACATTCATCCTGAGCTATCTGTTATGCCCATGACTTCTGTTTTTTCATGCTTTTTATATTCACTTATCTAACTAAGCATCAGCCATCCCTCTCACAATTATCCTTCTGTAGCAGATTGCTTCACCCACATTGGTTTTCCCATCTCTCTCTTTTTTAAAATTTTTTATTATCTTTAAGTTGTTGTACAAAGGAGATTATGAATTTAACAAAGCAGTTTACAAATGCAATGCATCTTGATCATTGTTACTCCTTTCAACATTCTCATCCCCTTTTGACCCTCTTCCTTTACTTTTCTGTTTTATGGTATATTCACTTTATATACCTCTGAATTTCTAGCATATATACTCACTTAAAACCTCATTTCTGGTGTGGCTAATTTGGTAGACGCTCCTTGAGGCCAGGACAATTCATATCTATATATATGTATATATACTTATACATATACATATATATATATATTAGTCAGCATTGTTAGGTGACCAGGAAGCATAATGGAAAGCAAAATTTAAGAGAGCAAACAATTAATAATGAGATAATGGATGTTTAAAGAAAGGATGTCATGGGCTGTGAAGGTGGCTCAGGTAGAGCACTTGCCTTGCATGCATGAGGCCCTGGGTTCGATTCCTCAGCACCACATAAGCAAAAAGAAAAAAGCCGGAAGTGGCGCTGTGGCTCAAGTGGTAGAGTGCTAGCCTTGAGCTGAAGAGCTGAGGGACAGCGCCCAGGCCCAGAGTTAAAGCCCCATGACCGGACCCCCACCCCCAAAAAAAATAGATGTCATGAATTGGAGACCTAAATGAAAATAAAGAAAAAAACATTCTAAGATGATATTATAGGATAATCTGAAATTCCAGGTGCCAGTGAAGTTAGTTGAATGAACTAATGAGTATATTCTGAGTAGAATGATGTAACCAAATCTGCTGGTTGGTTCCTTTTTAAGTCATTCATTCTTTATAAACTTTTGAGTTCTCTAGGGTAAAAAATGAAGAAAAAATTTCAGGAACAACTTCTATGTGGTAGACAAATGAAACCGTATGTTACCTACAATAAGAGAAATACACATTGCCTAGGGAAATAAAAGGAGAATGCTACCAAAAGAAGTTGTAGTTAGACCAAATTCACAATTGTTTAGACATTATTTTTGTTTGGACATTATCTAATCTTCACGTTACGACACTTTCAGAGAACTGTGAACCATTTCAGAATAACTATGTAAGAGAGCACTGCTCCTTCCTAAATTTCCTTGCTGATCTTAGGAAAAAGCAACTCTGAGAGTTCAGATTCATTGAAACAAAAAATGAGTATGATGCTGTGAGACTAATATCGCTAAACCTGTTGGGAGCTACCAACTAATAAGTTAGTAACACTGTAATGTCAAAGATGCATAAAAATCAAATTGAAATGCCCTAATTCGTGTAGAGTTCTGAAATTGCTGCATAAGTAGGATAGTGTTAGCTCTGAAGGTGGTAAATGGGTATATTTTAAATCTGAAAAGACCAGGAAAATTAGTATACATTTGAATATTGCTGGATTTTTAAGCCATTTTCAAAGATCTACAGCTAAACATAAATCTTTGTGTTCCAAATTTTTATATCTAGTCATTTGCTTCCCCAAAAATCACAAGGAAGAAAAGCATTGAAACTTACTCTCCAACAACTGGAACTTGTCAAATGAGCCCCTTTTCCTCTCCCACAAGATCTGAAGAACAAGAGCACAGAAATAGACCAGGAAATGGTAAGTTTAACTTTCCTTTTCACGTACAGTGAGATTTTTCTGGTATTGATTAAATCAAGATTTTGATTTAATAATGTGTAGATCTTGCTGCATCTAATTTTTCTCTTTTCCCAAAGAATTTAATGTAGAAAAGACTAGAATGTAGATACTATTTGAATGTAAATGCAAACTTTCTAGTCACTTATTTTAAAATGCTACCGTAGACTTTGTTCCTGTACTGTTCCAGCCATTAAATAGAAATTATGGTCTGATGGCCCTCAGCTCCTATCAATTATAGTGGTTTCAGATATACCCCTGAACAAGCTATCCATCATGTGCATAAATTAAAGGCACAGAACTCAGGTACTGCTGCACTACAGGTTAACAGTAAGATTCCTAAACGTTGTTTTTATTCCTGATTTCCATTATTTTTAATCCACATTTACTGAATTTTTATATGGTTTGCCTTTATTATATTTCATTCCCTTCTTTTTCTAGTTATTTGAAATGCCTTTCTAAATTGTAGAATTTTTTCATAGGAAAAAAACAACTTTTAGTATGAAATCTTTTAAAGTTTTTTTAATTGAGTTATGAACATAAATAAATGTGCTCCTTTAGTTTATTGCTAAAATATTTATTTTAAAGCACAAATTTCAATTTTCTAGGTTTAATTTTTTTAAATATTGAGTAAGGTCAGGAATCAGTGGCATGTCATTTTTTTGTTTTGTTTTGTTTTTTTGGGGTCCGGTTGTGGGGCCTGAACTCTGGGCCTGGGCACTGTCCCTCAGCTCTTCAGCTCAAGGCTAGCACTCTACCACTTGAGTCACAGCGCCACTTCCGGCTTTTTTCTTTTTTGCTTATGTGGTGCTGAGGAATCAAACCCAGGGCCTCATGCATGCAAGGCAAGTGCTCTACCTCTGAGCCACCTTCCCAGCCCCTGGCATGTCATTTTTTATAATATAGAATTTTATAGGCTCAAATTTAACAAAATGTTTTAGATATGTTATGATTAGCATAATTCATATTTTATTTTTAACGTTTTTATTGTGTATTAAACATATACTAGAATCTACACAGTAAACAAAGAAATCTTGGAAGTGGTGCTGTAGCTCAAGTGGTAGAGCGCTTGCCTTGAGCTGAAGAGCTGAGGGACAGCGCTCAGGCCCAGAGTTCAAGCCCCACGACCGACAAAAAAACAAAAAGCAAAGAAATCTTCTCATTTTACCTAATTTGTTAAAATGAAACATCAATATTGTATACATATTAACAAGATCATAAATGTCTCTGGATTTTCAAGTTCTATAATTCTGTTTTAAACTTATTTTTTTTTGCGGGGGGGGGGGCGGTCGTGGGGCCTAACTCTGGGCCTGGGCACTGTCCCTCAGCTCTTCAGCTCAAGGCTAGCACTCTAGCGCTTGAGCCACAGCACCACTTCCGGCTTTTTTCATTTTGCTTATGTGGTGCTGAGGAATCGAACCCAGGGCCTCAGGCATGCAGAGCACTGAGCCACCTTCCCAGCCCTGGTCTTTATCTTTTTAATTAAAATTAATTACTTAATTGTATATCTCCATACTAAAATTTGAAAATTGCAAAGACAGGTGATATTACATTTTTTCAGAAAACAATGGTAAGCATGTGAAGATCATCATGTTGTATGCTTTATGTATTTGTTAAATAAACAATAGGTACTTTTTCCCTACCATCAATTTTTTTTGCTGTGCTATCACTAAGAACTTAACCAGATTTACTATTGTATTTTAATCTAATTATATTATCATCAAATTGGATTTCCCTAGTTTTTACTTAAATACTCCAAATATCACACAACTTTTATTCAAAAGATAATTCTTCCCTTTTTATTTTTGGTGTTACTAAGGTTTGAACCTAGAGCCTCATATTTGCTAGGCAGGTACCCTATCACATAAACCATGTCTCCAAATCTTTAAAAAAATGTTTTTTCTATATAAATGTTTTTTCTATATAATATCACTTTTTTAATGAAAAAAAATCCTACTTTCTTTTTTCATCCTTTTATTTTCTATTTAAAATTTGACACAGAAGTAGAGTTGTGGCTCAAGTGGTAGAAAATTATTCTTGAGCAAATGAAGCTCAGGAATAGCTCCCAAGCCTTGAGTTCAAGCACCAGGATAGACACAAAAAATCTTTCTTTTCCATTTTTTGGCAGTACAAGGTTTGAACTCAGTGCGTTGAACTTACTTACTTGGCTAGTGTGCTACTGCTTGAGCCATACCCTCAGCACTACTTTTGGCTGATTATTTTGGAGATATCATCTTGTGGGATTTTCTGGCAGCCTAGCTTTGAACTAACTCTGCCTCTCAGACTTCTGAGTAGATAGGATTATGGGCATGAGCCTTGATACCCAGTTTATTCTGTTTCCATTGGATTTCAGTGTTTGTTTCTGTGAGACAGGGTCTTGCTTTGTATCACAGGTTGGCCTGTAAGCCAATATCCTTCTGCAACTGCCTCCAAGTGGTGGGATTGTAGGCATGTACTGCCATATCCAGCAAAAACTAGAGATCTAAATTCTATTGAAATTTGACAAATTGTCTCTTAACTATATGTTCTTTTGCTTTATTACATATATAGGAAAGAGAAAAACAATGACTCACTTCAATTTGACTAAAAGAAAGGAATCAACAAAAGAAGACAATGATGAGTAAGTTTATTTTTAAAATCATACATATTTTTTTTCTTGGTTAGAAATAATTTTTATTATCCTCTCCCCCCATGTACAGATGACTTCACAGAGACATGAAGATTTTATCCCTGTCTTCATCAATTACAGTTGTAGAAAATAAACTTAACTAATACCCTGTCAGCAATATATTTCTATCACTTTTTTAAACAATAAGCCATTTTCTTTTTCTGTATTAGTTTTGAGTAGTTTTCTTTTTTTGATCAAACCAAGATCATTTTAGTTTATAGGTAATGGTTTCCTGACAGGGTCCCTCCCCCTAACCCCTAAAAAAATTACTATCCTAAGTGATAAACTCTTCTTGTACATTCAGCAAACTTTATATTGGAAAAAGCAAAAAAATCATACATATTTTGCAGCAAAGTTTTCATATTTGTTAACATGACAATTTAACTATTTATAGAAACATTCTATAGCTCAGCTGAAGTATTCTTTCTTAAAGATGTGATGTACTGGGGCTGGGAAGGTGGCTCAGTGGTAGAGCGCTTGCCTTGCATGC